ATATGTAACGCCGGGCGCTGGTGGCTCACGCCTGTCATCCTAGCTACTCAGGAGGCTGAGATCTGAGGATCATGGTTCAAAGCCAGCCCGGGCAGGAGAGACTGTGAGACTCCTATCTCCAATAAACCACCAGGAAACTGGGAGTGGCGCTGTAGCTCAAGTGGTAGAGCGCTCGCCTTGAGCTGAAGAGCTGAGGGACAGCACGCAGACCCAGAGTTCAAGCCCCATGACCGACCAAAAAAAAAAAAAAAATATATATATATATATGTGTGTGTATATAGTGTATATGTGTATGAGTGTGTGTGTGTGTGTGTGTGTGTGTGTGTATACATGTGTGCGCCAGTACTGGGGACTGAACTCACAGCCTGGGTGCTGTCCCTTAGCTTTAGTGCTCAAGGCTAGTGCTGTACCAATTTAGCCACAGCTCTACTTCCAGCATTTTGCTGGTTAATTGAAGAGTCTTACAAACGTACCTGTCAGGGCTGGCTTCAAACTTTAATCATCAGATCTCTGCCTCCTGAATAGCTAGGATTATAGGCATGAGCCACTGTGGCTGGTTAATACCTTTTATTTTATAAAACAGGACAAGTGCATTCTTCAAAGTGCTTTCTGGAACCACGTCCTATTCTAGCGGCTAAGGCAGGGAGGATGAGCAGGAATTATCCTCAAGGAAACTGACATCACGGAACTTAAATGATTTAACTGAATGATTGATAAAACTGGCCCAACTGATTCTTCATCCAGCCAAAAATAACACATAGTCTGAAAATAAAAGCTCCCATTAAAAACGTGTTCAAAAGCTGGGCGTTAATAGCTCATGCCTGTAATCCAATCTGAGGATCATAGTCAAACTCAGTCCTGGCAGGAAGGTCCATGAGATTCTGATCTCCAATTAATTGCCAAAAGGCCAGAAGTGGAGCTGTGGCTTAAGTGGTAGAGTGCCAGCTTTAGCAAAACAGAAAGTTAAAGGGCAGCACCCAGGCCCCAGTAGCAGCACAATTTTTAATGTGTTAGGGGAATGGGTGTATTATGATGCTGAGCAAGCACCTTTATCTGCAGGTCACAAGAGGGCTGATAAATGGAAACCACAGAGTCCTAAGCAGGTGTCCGCACTTCTAAAACTAGGGACTGTTGAGAGCTGAGCTAAGAATGGTTGGAAGACACAGGGTAGAAATCTCAGGCAGGGAGGCCTGCAGGGAGTCCTTGGCAAATATGTGGGCAAATCTTAACTTTGGAAACCTCTGCTGAGCCTGAAGAATTGCTGTCAGTGTGGAGGAGCGAGAGCACCTCCTGGGGTGGTTTTCATCACGGGCTCCCCCAGAACCACAGAGCCACCCATATCCTGGTCCCATGTACCAGGCCCTCTAGTTCAGTCTCTTCTGACACCTCACACTGACTCACACATCCCAGACAGAAAGAGCACTTCTGGGTTTCTGCAGAGCTCCTTTGTCCCCTAGTTCATGCTTATGAAATGGAAGTTCCCTTCCATCAGGGAAAGCTGAGGTTTGGTTTGCACATCGTGACCGACCTGGTACACTATACCACTGACTGAACAACTTGTCTTTCCAATGGTGGTCCAGGGCCATCAACTGTGTTCCGGTCTTTAGGGCCCGAAGAGCTCAATGCTGTCCAGTTTCTTCCCTTCGTAGAGAAAGATCTTCTCCATTAGTTTCCTTTTGGCTTCATTGATCTCGATTTTCCAGGAAATCTCTGTAGCTGATGTTCAATAAACAAAGTAAGGTAGAGCAACTTGAACCAAAATTACTATTCTTATAATACTTTAAAAGGTAGACTTGGTCAGAATCTCCTATAACTCAAGTTTCCAAATAAGCCCCCAGGAGCAGGTAAGAGCAGGTTCATTACTCTGTCTTTGTAGGGAAGCCCACAACTTCCCCTACTTTCCAAAGAGTAGGGGGTGCCAGGCACCATCCTAGGCTGGGAGAGATTTGGAGCCCACAATGCTTACAGCCTGCCCCTCCCTCCCTCTCCATTCTGGGGTCATAGCTTTGACATCCAGTGAGTGAGGGGACAGGAACGCCCCAGTGAAAAGGCCTTCCTCAGCTGGGTACCAATGGCTCACGCCTGCCATCCTAGCTGCTCAGGAGGCTGAGATCTGAGGATCACGGTTCAAGTTAGCTGTGAGATTCTTATATCTCCAGTTAACCAGCAAAAAGCCAGAGATGGAGCTATAGCTCAAGGGGCAGAGTGTCAGCCTTGAGCCAAAAAAAGGAAAGGGACAATGCCCAGGTCCTGAGTTTAAATCATAGGACTGGCACAAAGAAAAACAAAATGCCTGAGACGATAAGGAGATATCACAGGGAAATCCCCTCCTACTATAAATAATGCCCCAGGACATGATCAATTATACAGGACTCCAGGCATTCACACACACAGTGAGACCAAAGGAGGATACTCTTAGGGGAGAAACGCAAAAGCGCAATGTCTGTGTGCCTCTGATCATATGAAATAATATTTATCAAAATGAACTCTAGGAAGTGGAAACAATGGTTTTTTCTTCATTGTTTTTGTATTCTTTTTGTCTTGATTGTTTATCTGTCTTTGGGAGGGTAAAGGGAATCATAGAAATGGGGGGACAAAGCGTGAACAAATACAACAGTGGTATTCACTAAACCTTGTTGAAAATGAACTCTACAACTTGTGGGTGAGGAAAGGAAGGAAAAACTGGGAGAGAGCGAGGGAAGGGGTGACACTGTCCAAAAAGAAATGTACTCATTACCTGACTGTGTAACTGTCACCCCTCTGTTCATCATCTTTATACTAACTACTAAAACATTTTTTAAGTGGCTGGCCAGAAGGAAGAAGTGGACCAGGGTCTTGCTGGTCCCAGAAAAGGGTTCTTCTGGCTCTAGGGCAAAGGGAACCTTAAACAAAGAGTGCCATGCAGTATTTTTTAAAAAGCCACCCCAGGGCTGGGGGTGTGTCTTGGAGCACTTGCCTGCCCCGTGTGAAGCCCTGAGTTCCATCCCCAGCACTGCAAAAACACACAAAATAAATAAGAAACCACTCTTGCTGGGTACTGGTGACTCACATCTGTAACCCTAGCTACTCAGAAGGCTGAGATCTGAGGATTGCAGTTCAAAGCCAGCCCAGGCAGGAAAGTCCATGAGACTCTTATCTACAGTGAACCACCAAGAAAACCAGAAGTTTTCTGGGTGCCAATGGCTCACACTTGTAATCCTAGCTACTCAGGAGGCTGAGATCTGAGGATTGCAGTTCAAAGCCAGCCCAGGCAGGAAAGCCCGTGAGACTCTTATCTCCAATAAGCCCCCAGAAAACCAGAAATGGTGCTGTGGCTCAAATGGTGGAGCACTAGCCTTGAGCTGAAGAGCTCAGAGGCAGTGCCCAGGCCCAGAATTCAAGCCCCATGACCAAAAAAAAAAGGAATAAATGAGGTTGGCAATGGAAGAAGTAGCAGGCTCCAATAAGAAGCTGTTAGATGAGCCTGACCTCCTGTGCTTACCATCCTGGGGGGACTGTGGGCCCCCACAGGCCACGGACAAGAAATCAGCCTCTACTTCCTGAGTGGCCGGCAGCCTTCCTGCTCCACCCTCTGCGCAGACAGCTGGGGACACAGCCCCTGAACTGGGGGCCGCCCCAGTGGAGGAATGGGAGGTGTCCAGGCTGGAATTGTCCACATCATCAGTTTCCTCTGGGGTGTTGGAAGACAAGCCTGTGGCCTCAGAAAGCCCACTGCATGGGACTGACAGCTGACCTTGAAGCCACTCCTCCACTGCAACCATGCAGCCACGGGCCTTGGGGAAGAGCAGGCAGAGAAGACTGTTACTCTGAGAGCAGAGGGCCAACACCCGGCCTCTAAGAGAAATACAAGCACTGACTGTGTTGTTGGAAGAACTGTATGCCACCTTTGAAGCGATCTGAACTTAATTACCACCCTCCTAGCCACAAATAAGTGCAGAGGAGCCCAGATGGACCAATCATAGCATCCTATTCCTCTGGCCACAATGACTGGTACAGAGTTGGGCCTGTTACCAAAGAGGACCAATCAGAATCCTTCCTTGAGGCTTGGGACACACCTAGAGTTGAAAAGACAACCCTTTGCTTTCTACAGGCAGAACCAGATTCTCCACCCAACTTAGGGATTCATAGGGTAAAGCAGAGGCAAGTGATGGAAACAGAGACATACACAGCAACACCCATGCCCTGGAGACCCAGGGCCCAACTGCCTTGAGAGCAGAGCAATGTGGACCCTCTCTGCTGCAGGGTTAAGTGACCAAGTTCATCATCCCCTATTCATATTATTCCTCGCTCCCTCCCCATGTGTGCCTACCAGTTTGAGAAATGCGTTTCTATCACTTCTAACAGAAAAATGCTCTAGGTAATACAGACCTGGTCCTTGAGGGCGTTCCCAGTTTTGGAAGTTAAAAAATTTTAGAAAAGCAGAGAATGAATACTGCTTCACACACACACACACACGAACGAAGTTAAAAAATTTTAGAAAAGCAGAGAATGAATACTGCTTCACACACACACACACACACACACACACACACACACACACACACACACACACGAACGATAACAATATCTCATTTGCTTGGTGCCTAACAAAAAAATCCAGTATATAAATTGACATATTGCTGCGCTTTTTCACTCATAGCTGGCACTCTACCACTTGAATCACACTTCCACTCATGACCTTTTGCTGGTTAGTTAGAGATAAGGGCCTCTCTGCCCAGATTGTCTTCAGATCTCAATCTTCAGATCTTAACATTGAAAGGATTACAGGCGTGAGCCACCAACTCAGCACAAGTATGACAATGAACCCAGACTTGCTGCTCTTCTAGCCCACGACCCAGCTGACCTCTTAATTTTCTAGCTTAGTGGTGATATACTGTAAACAACGACCAATTCTTTTTTGGGCTTCAGCTCTTCAGCTCAAGGCTAATACTCTACCACTTGAGCCACAGCACCACTTCCAGTTTTCTGGTGATTTATTGGAGATAAGAGCCTCACAGACTTTCCTGCCCAAGCTGGCTTTGAACCACGATCCTCAGATCTCAACCTCCTGAGTAGCTAGGATTACAGGTGTGAGCCATGGGTGCCTGGCTGACCAATCCTTATTCTTATATATTAGTCTACATGACCACATCCTATCCTTTGATGCCTAATTCAAATGTCAACTCTGGAGGTAAATCTTTGCTGTAACTGCTCAAGAAATAGTTGTCTGGCTGAGTGCTGGTGGCTCACACCCATAATCCTCACTAATAATCCTAGATCTGAGGATGATGTTCAACGCCAGCCTAGAGAGAAAACTATGAGAGAGTCTTATTCCTAGCTCACCACCAAAAAGCCAGAAATGAGGCTGTGGTTCAAATGGTAGAGCTCCAGCCTTGAGTGAAAAAGGTACCAGGCACTGAGTTCAAGCCCCCCCCACACAAAAGAACAACAAGGAGAAAAAGGAGGGGAAGATGAAGAGGAGGAGGAGGAGAAAGAGGAGGAGAATTATTCCAGAAAGGCAGGAAGAATTCTGTCAACATCAGAGTATCTGGTCCCAGCAACACACCTGCCCTCACGTCGCCCGTTACCATATGGTGGTGCTGATGTGCGCGCCAGTGCTGATGTGCGCGCCGGCAGACTCTGCTACTGATAACCAGATATAGCCCTGGTGGGTGAGCTCACCCGGGCGGCACAGACCGGGTCGGGGGCGGCTCACCTCCTCCAGGCTGGCGTTGCGCCGCCGTAGGCAGAGGCAAACAGCTGCGGCCCAGGCCTCGGCACAGTCCTCTGGCAGTGACCCTGCCCTCCTCTCCAGGTGTTTCTGGCAGATCTCCTGGGCCATCACCTTTTCCACATCTGTCTTCCTGGAGCAGGGTGAGGCAGTGCTGCTCGGAATCTCACTGAGGAGCAAATCCTTCTGTGGGAGGAAGGGAGGAAAGGGCTTGTGGGCAAGTGGAGAATTGCTAAATTCCCTTGTGCCCAGGGCACGCACAGCCTTTCACCCCCACCACTGGACGCCTCCTCTCCAGCCCAGGTCAGGAAAGCCTAGCCAGCAAAATGCCTATGTGTAGGTCTTCCACAACAGCAACCAAGTAATGTGTCTAAAGCACACAGATGAAACATGAAGGGGTCTGTTATGGATTAGTGATGGATTAGTATTCATAACTAATAGACAAATGATATCATTCATAAGTATTTAATGACGCTCATTAATATCATTTGCATAATCGATTATCTATTCATCTATAGACTATATAATAGTCTGTAGACTATATAGACTATTATGTAGTCTATAGTCTATTAGTCTAACAGTATCGTATCACTCACATAGTGTACTAGTGATAAATACTAATCATCTCACTTAGTCATAAATGCTAATAGTATCACTACCACTGGTAGCTCGTAACTGGAATCCTAGCTACTCAGGAGGCTGAGATCTGAGGACTGCAGTTCAGACCATCTCCAGCAGACAAATCTGAGAGACTGGTATCTTCAATTAACTAGCAAAAACCAGAACTGAGTATGGCTCAAGTGGTAGAGTCCTAGCCATGAGCAAAAAAGCTAAGCAAGAGTGTAAGGCACTGAGTTGAAGTCGCAGTGCTGGCAC